CGTTGCAATAGACCATCAGTGGATATGGTATAACCATAACAAATACTCTTACAGACACTGTAATTTATCATCAATTTCGGGGCCAAAAGCGTTCTTATCGAACATTGTCCTTAATCGAATGGTATTCGTTTCTTAACATTTGGATGACTTGACGGAACATATACAGACATTTATACATACTTTCCAAGGCCTGAAAGTGCACACCTTTACCAAAGAAATAATTATTGGTTACAGTAATTTTTCTGCTCTATTACTCAAACGAAATAACCATTACCATTCACAAATGCATCATTAAACCGGTGAACCCTTCTAAGGAGATAAATGGTAACAAATAATTAAACATTACAAAACATTTTGTAATTTCTATCATAGGTACATCAATATCACCATCATTATAAATTCCCTCTTTATTCTCCGATTTTGAATCCTTGAAGAATATTAACAAATACAGACGTCCTGCCTGTCATGATATGTGAATACACCTGGTTACAATACTGATGTAGAAAAATGTTTAGATTAACAAATCTGAGTAATTGATTTGACAAGGCGATGATAACAGAACCTAAAGCAACCTGCCAATTTTGAGGCTTCTGAACTTCTTCTTTGTCATAGGCCTAAAAAATAAAAATATGAAAAGGAATACAAATTTATTAGCCTTACCTGAGTTTTAGTCGTCCATGCTTCTGTAGTGGGAACGAATGCCTGAAAGTATTTCAGTGCATAGATACCATGAAACGTATATAGATGACGCTTGTACAATGCAACCAGTCAATATTTCGATAGTTTCACTTTCATTTTGGATTCTACTAAATCCTTAACGTATAATGAATTGGCGAATATTTATTACACATGCATGAAAGTTGACTGGTTATACTTGTACCCTTGCTTAGTGGTTTGCGTATAAGGAACATACCATTTAATTTTCGGATGGGTGGGAGCGATCGATCGATCGATCGAGTGAGGTCCTGTGGATATATATATATATATATATATATATATATATATATATATATATATATATATATATATATATATATATATATATACACACACACACACACACACACACATAATACATAATCCAATGTAGGATTATCATTCAAATAGCTCTTCTTCTTCATCTTGGTGTACACTTATAGTTGACTTATCAAACATTTTACATAGCCAAATAATCATTGGGCTGTGAAAAGGTCACTGTCACATTTTACACACACACACACACATACACACACATACACACACACACAAACAAGGGTATGAGTGCTCGAACACACTATACAAACTCTCATACATATATACTTCCATACATGGAGTGAAAAGGCAAGAAAAGGGTTGGAGTGCTCACATATTTACAAACATATACATTCTAATACATGGAGTGAAAGAAGAGAAAATAGCAAAATTATTTACGTTGATTCAGAAACAAAGCCTTCTACCGACATTAAGAGACCGTTCCGGTGGCCTACTGTGTTAGAGCATCCGCCTCAAATGCGGGAGGTCGCACGTTCGAACCCCGGCCAAGCCATGCTAAAGACTTATAAAAATGGTACTAACATCTGCCTCGTTTGGCGCTCAGCATTAAGAGGTTAGTGTTAGGACTTGTCGGCCTGGTGTCAGCATAATGTGACTGGGTGAGATAAGATGCTGCATGTCTGCGCCATGTTGCCCAAATGCTTTACATCATTATAAACTGCCACACTGCAGACATCGTAGCGACATGACTGAAAAATTTTTGAAGTTAAAAAAAAAACTTACACACACACACACACACACACACACACACACACACATGACATTAGGCAGATGTCAGGGAAGAATAAATACACTTAAGGACATGCGCTGTCTTACATTTACAACCGAAGTGCGCTAAACCGTAGCAAATATCGATGCTGTATGGACCAAGTGAGCTTTACATATTTGTAATGAAATTTTTGTTTTTCCACACCCTGTATTAAATAGCTAGCACAACAGCTACACATTGACGCGTGACAAACATTGGTAGAAAGTATGTTGCATACAACATCCAATGCTAATTATGTATGAGGCAGGTTCGGTTTTCTTGTTAATTACAAATTTATGGTTTTCATTTGCCACCCAAAATTTAATATAAACTATGACCTTACGAATCCAATATCAATTTACGAGTGTTCTTGTCGCTCAAGATTTAATACACTGAGCAAATTGTTATCTATGGTGATGTACTGTGCTTGAGGAAAGGCGAGACTTAAGTTTGCCATGCTTTATTTATTTATTTACTGTAAGGTTGTGACATATTCTGTTTTAGTTTCAAAACGGCCATGCGTAAGTACATTAAAGTTGTGCGTCGTACATGAAGTGTTGTACTTGTAAAGAAAAAACGTTTCTGTCTATACTATCCGGAGTGACCCTCGTCACATGAAAGGAAAGTAAAAAATTATATGAGTTTTTATAGCAATAGTTGTTTCTTTCAACCTTTACAATATATAAATTAAAAAGGAAACTAAGAGGCACTCTTCTTAGACCAGATTATCAAAATTTATGTTTCTGTTGTTTACGCTCAACCATTTTTTCCTTTCGCCATATGATTATCTATATGACTTTCACGATGTGCCACACAGGGTATTTGTTACATTTTTTCTTTGTATTCCGTGAACAAGAGTCAGATTGAAGTTCAAAACATATCACACAGTCCATTTATGTTCATTTCTACTGTCTTTCCTTTATGAATTAGGTTACTGGAATGGGCTTTGTTTGCTATATTTCTGCTTGTCTTGCTTTGAATGCCTTCACTAGAATGGGTTCTTCTGTGTTTTCTGCTTCTGAACGTTCCTCCCAGATCTTTTTTTTTCACTTTTGCTGGACATTCTGTAGACCAACTTCATATTTCTTGACAGAAATAACAATGGACTTCACGTCTGTCGCCGAATTTGCTTTCACCTATCTTGGAGGTTCATTTTCTTTGACGATATAGACGTTCTGGAGCCATTGTTTTTTCTTCTGACAAACATAACATGTATCTTGACTTTCATTTCTATAGGAATTGTTGGAGGTGTAATTTCGAAGGACTCTGTGAGTCTCTGACGAGAAATATCATCTGTTGAAGCTCTTCTCTCTTTACAGATGGAACCTATACGAATGTTTTCTCTGAGAGAGAGAGAGAGAGAGAGAGAGAGAGAGAGAGAGAGAGAGAGAGAGAGAGAGAGAGAGAGAGAGAGAGAGAGAGAGAGAGAGAGAGAGAGAGAGAGAGAGAGAGAGAGAGAGAGAGAGAGAGAGAGAGAGAGAAGCACACTTTTAAAAGAAACAACCAGAAGGCAAATGACACCGACATTCCGTATCACTCGACACTAGAAAAAGTGTTGGGGGAAGTTTACCCTAGCTATTTTGAAGAGGATATAATTCCTTTTCAACACAACGTGACTCTTATTCAGGACCAAGCGCGTCAATATCGGTGAAGACAGTCTTGCAGTGATCTCTGGAGATTAATGTCACATTCGACATAACCGCAAAGTGATTTCCAGAAAATTTAGAACCACTGCTTACACGGTGAAATTAGAGTTCAAGTCTCAAGTCTGGCATTTAGAAGTAGGAAACGTCATTATGGACTCATTGGAGTCTATATTAGATAAATCGTGACTACAGTGCAAAACAATAAGGATATAACACCTTAAAAGAACGCCCGTAACATGTAGATCCATTGAAAACTGAATTTTTCAATTATAGTCTTTCAAAAACCACACAAACCACCAAGTCAGAAAAAGAGCAGAGTAGAAAAGGTTCTGCCCCCCATCTCAAATGATAGTGAAACAACCAGAAAGTTTCCAAAATCAGGTTGTTTTGTTTCTAGTTAGTTGGTAAAAATTACGGACTGGAGAAACTTTAAATGAACGCGCTTTTGGGAACTTTGCCCCCTAATCTCTCTCTGGGGCTAGATTATAAAATCCCTAGCTGTGTTCTTTCTTTCGACCACCATACTTTGGATCCGCTACTGATCATAATATTTACCCAGATTTTAAATTTTCAATGTGAAATACGAAATTAGTTGCGCGTACAACATCCTTTGACAAAAATATCAAATAAAAGTAAAAAATCCAGGCAAGAGTCAAATTGGGCAATAACACTAACAAAATTCATATTGGAACATTAATTTTTTGATATATGTATCTTCAGACGATAACTTTATTATTTACGTGCTTTTATGATTCCATTTCCATCAAAATACCGGAAACACATTGTGTTCACAATATTGTGCCACACACTGCATTCATCGAAAATTCCTAGAGAGCAATTAGAACCGGAAAATACCTCTAACATAGATTACCATATTTTTTTTTATGAAGCTACTTTGTTAAATTTAGATGTTCAGCGCATAGGCTAAAATAGAGACAAGTATAGCAAGATTGAGAAAAATAATATGTATTGTGAATTATACTCATAATGAACACCATATTTAAATTTTTACACCACAGGGCACATTATATATAATTGCATTGCATTTTGTAATGTGAACCAATTATCTGATTTACTGAATAAAGTATTAATAGTATTACTTAAATAGCAATAAGACTGTCAAAAAGAGTAAAGTCATTTGTCGATATGCTCAAGATGACTATGAAATTTTCAAGTTTCACAGCAATCTACTGAAAAACGTGAGACTAGATGCATTCACAAAAGTATGACACACACACACACTACATTCATCTGCTTGGTAAATATGATGACCATATTATTTTCCAAATTTCATGGTAGTCTATCAAACGCTGCTTGACTATTTGCATCAACATAATTAATTGCCAGTATTGCTCCAACATACTAATAAACCATATGCGTATATAATGTGGCAAGGTATAAAACAACACAAAAGAATAAAAAGATTTTCTTTTATTTTCTAAGATGTTAATGTATATGTTTACAATGAGTTGATCAAAGATTGATGTTATTGTTTTTCTATTATTTAAAAAATAAACATTCTTCTTAAAATCTGCCTTACAGAGCATTTATCATAGCTATCCATAAAAGCCTGAGACCGCTCCGGTAGCCTAGTTGTTAGAGCATCCGCCTCGGATGCGGGAGGTTGTTGGTTCGAAATCCGCTTAAGTCATAACAAATGCATAAAAATGGTAATAACAGCTGCCTCGCTAGGCATTCAGCCTTTAGAGGTTAGTGTTAGGATTGATTTGCTTGGTGTCAGGATAATGTGACTGGGTGTGACATCACACTACATGTATGTGACATGATGCCCCAGTGCTAGACACACACACACACACACACACACACACATATATATATATATATATATATATATATATATATATATATATATATATATATATATATATATATATATATATATATATATATATATATATATATATATATATATATATATGAGCACGTAACCAGCCTTAGGGCGACATATGTCACAAAGCAGCATTAGGGTGACAAAATGACAACATGTTGTCTTATGCAACAGTAGCACATATTTATATATGAATTCATTAACATAAATTATAATTCAAATTATCAAGCTTCAATATTCATGTTTAAAGCAACAAAATTTATTTTAAACACAAACACACGTTTGTCGCCATAATACTGTGTCGCCTTAATGCCTAAACAAAACTGTGACGGTCACAATATCATTATGGCGACAGACTCTTGACACACATATTCTCTCTAGTCCAACATCAAAGGCGACAGAGTTTCTAATGTCCCTATTGCCATACCAAACACAACAGTAAGCTAAAATTATATTTTAGGATGATCAGAATCTTAAATATATTCATTTTAAAACTGTATTACGTATGTGTATCTACACCCTTATACCTACATAATCTTCGCACACACATATTGTGTCTAATCCAGCAATAAGGCGACAGTGTTTCTAAGGGCCCTATTGTCATACCAAACAAAACAAAGAAATAAAATGATATTTGTGAGGTAATCAAAATCATAAATATATGCCTTTAAAACTGTATTGAAACGTCTGCTTATCCATTTGCAAACGTTTTTATGTTTAACATTTTTTAATTTTATTCTTTTGCCTCCTCCCTCTTGCCCTTACCAAAATATAAGAACAAGCTTTTATGTGTACGTGTGAGGTACTCAGTCTGGTTCCTCTAGCTAATGGGGGTTGTTCATCCGACCAAAGACCATTAGCGGATTCTCTTCTAAACTTTTTTTTTTGTTTGCATGTTGTAAGTTTCTCTCTCATTCATTTAATATTATTCGAGGGCACTTTGCCTAGCCGGATATAAGGGGCTACACTACCTTTATTTGAGAATTGTGTTTCTCCTTATTTTGGGGCATGGTCTTGTGGTCCCTCGAGTTCTCCTAAAGCTGGAAAAGAGGTCTAAAGATAAAAAGCCGAAAATTAAAATGAAAATTTCAAAACAAAGGGGACAAACTTTTCCCTGCCCGTATTCTATATTTATTTGTGTATTGTTTGTTATTGTGAGGGAAAACATGTAAGTGTTGTGTTCGTGTTTGCTTTATGCTTTTGTGTGTTTTCCCATGAGCTGCGTTTCAAGTTTTCATGAACTACCTCGCGCCTTGTTCACTTCGTGCTGCCTACGCTCATTACTTCATTCGGTACGCAGGATCACTGTTTCCATTCTGAAAGGCTGTTGGGTTTCCCTATTCTTTTGCAATGTGTGTTAAATGTTAGATTATGCTAATGAGAGAAAATAAAAAGAACAACTAAGGGATATACCGTTTAAAAAGGACAAAAATTTCAAAGATTTAACAATTCCATTCCAGTATCCCTGTGTACTTGTGACATGTGAGAGAGGAGCCCAGCCCGTGAGCGGGCTGGAACCGCCCATCCGCCCCTATGCGGGGCGATGAACTGGGGCCGATCCCCCATACTGGTCTTCTACAAGAGTGCAGAAAAAATGTTATTTTAGTCTAGCACTTATTGTTTAATCCTAACTACATGACCACATTTCAACACGGTTTTAACAATATAATCAGTTATATTTTGTATACTTTTTATCAGATATTTTCTTTTCGTGTAGATATAAGAAATTATTTCCCTTATTTGCATATCTGCATTATGAAGTTAATTCTTTCTGCTTTATTATTCTCACATTGAGTTATTGCATGATAGTTTGTAAATGGGCTGCTTTATATCTTGGGCATTTGGATATTTCCTTTTCCATGTGGCGTTTGAAAGCCACTTCTCTCGTAAGTCATAAATCGCGTAAAAATTTAAATATTATATTTTGAACACGTAAGGACTTTAATTCCCGTCCATATATTCCACACATTTTCCCAATTAATTCCCCACTGTTTAGATTTACTTTCTATCTGACAGTTTTCGTTGTTTTCCCAGTTTCACTCTCTCTCTCTCTCTCTCTCTCTCTCTCTCTCTCTCTCTCTCTCTCTCTCTCTCTCTCTCTCTCTCTCTCTCTCTCTCTCTCTCTCTCTCTCTCTCTCTCTCTCTCTCTCTCTCTCTCTCTCTCTCTCTCTCTCGCCCATAGTTCCTTTTTCTCTCTATATTTTAAAACTATTTCTTTAATACATCTATATTATATTTCCGTGGAACTCCAGTATGCAAAACTTACAATGTTAATGTAAGATGTTATTTTATTTTTTATTACAAATCTATTTAAAATATTAGCTACCTTATCTGTAATTGGATTGGGAAGACTTAATCACCCCGTAGTATTCGTCCTATCTAATGTTTCCTCGGGCAGATACTGTGTTTTGCTATTCCATATATAATTTACAATTATTTGTCTAATTCATTCAGTTTTTTTATTTCCAGGTCAACTGATTTTAGTATATAATTCATATTGCTATAAGTCTACATGTATGTCTTGGCCGCATTATGCATAGTGGTATAAGCATCCAGATATCTATATTCTCTTTTATCTTTGATAATATATATATATATATATATATATATATATATATATATATATATATATATATATATATATATAGGTCAACTGATTTTAGTATATAATTCATATTGCTATAAGTCTACATGTATGTCTTGGCCGCATTATGCACAGTGGTATAAGCATCCAGATATCTATATTCTCTTTTATCTTTGATAATATATATATATATATATATATATATATATATATATATATATATATATATATATATATATATATATATATATATATATATGTAGCTGTCTAGTTTTGCTTTATGGCTAAGGGTCACTCCTAAGACCTTTACCTTATATTTTATTATTTGAGGTAAGAGTCCCAGGTGATTCCCCGTCCAGTTTCCTATTTTTAAAATTTATGTTTTGTTATTGTTGATCTTGGAGTCTGAAGCTTTCTCGAACGTTTCAAATTCGTTTTGCAGGTGCTTAAAGATTTTGCATACCTTGATAAAGTTCGTGCAGTCATCTTCATGTTGGAGCATCTTTAACTCATGTTCCAAGTTGGGAATGCGTATACCTTATTTTGCGACTCAAGATCTCAATTGTTATTACGTATATTAGCATGGACAGTGGTCATCCCTGCCTTGCTGACCTATGAATTTCAAATTCTTCCGTGATTGCTTTTATTTGTAATCTCGATTTTATTTCAGTATACATGATTTAGGCCCATTTCTGATTTTTATCCGAAGCCAAATGTTTTTAGCGCCTGTTGTGTTCACACACACACACACACACACACACACACACACACACACACACACACACACACACACACACACATACATACATACATACATACATACATACATACATACATACATACATACATACATACATACATACATACATACATACATACATACATACATACATACATACATACATACTTATAGTGAAGTGATTGTAGTCACACACACACACACATATACATACATACATACATACATACATACATACATACATACATACATACATACATACATACATACATACATACATACATGCATGCATGCATGCATGCATGCATGCATGCATGCATGCATGCATGCATGCATACATACATACATACATACATACATACATACATACATACATACATACATACATACATACATACATACATACATACATACATACATACATACATACATACATATAGTGAAGTGATTGTAGTCGATGTATGGTTTTCGCTCGCTGTTCTGCCTACCGCTGTCCTGTACTTAGGTACAACACTCATCATGCCCGTAGTCCTGAAGATAGCTGTTACCCGATCGATAGTAATTGTAATGCAACTGATTCAAGAATTCTAGAAAGTTTTGCAAATCATACAGTAATTATCAAATGAGTAAAGTGAAACGTAAAATAAAATCAAAACAAAAAACGTGTTGGTCAATTCGACCGAGATTTAGCAGGTAAGTGGATGCGTAGGCAGTAGAAACATTCAATGCAAAATAGTTGTATTGTGATAAAAATGAACAATTATTTTTTGTTGAAATATCCGATTTGCATTTTAGAATCATACTGATCTTTGTCTTCTTTCAATAGCAATTGCTTTTTGAGAAGTTATACAACTACTATATAAATGAATTGTACATTTCCTTTGTCTTACTATAAGTACTTTCAACTTAAATCCTGTACAGAGCAATAAACCACTTAAAATGGGGCTGTTGTAGGAACAGTAAACATTGCGAGTCCACATCATCATTTTGAAAAATGACCGTATTTACTTTAATCGCAAAGTATCGACGCTTTGTAGACGCCTGTCAGCTATAAACAACATTGTAAAATGTTCACTATGCTCTTATTTTAAGATTTGTGAATGCTTGGGTCGGCATGCAACAATATTTACTGCTATACAACTGGATCGTGTTCAAATAATTTGGACCTCTAGCAGAGTAGGATTTTATTTTCAATTTCATTTAACGCGTATTTTAGTCGAATGGTCGATGTCATTTATTTGCATATAGAAAAATCTTTACATTAGCTTAGTCTCATACTATGGAATGCAGATATCGGACAAAGTTTCTACAGTCTTGAGAAACCGTACATTTTCAGCTCAAATATGTCGCCTGAGAAACATGGATTCAAGTGATTAATATGTCAAAGTCCTTATCCGTCCTTTTTTAGATTGTTAGATGTATAGAAAGTGGAAGAAATTATTTTAGCCTTAAAAAGTAGCATGACAATGCATCCTTTAC